ACGATGTTGTTATTCCTGAAATGTATGTACCGGACCCATTAGAAGTTAACCCTAACTCGATAGATAATGTCAAAAAAGTTCTAGAATATATACAAGATATCACGGAAATAAATCAAGGAAAGCGAAAATGGCTACCTGTTACTTGCGATGGTGTTCCTTATACTTTAGCTCAAAAGAATAAAAAAGCTTTTCCGTGGCTTATATTAATTCCCGGTGCCTTGCATGAAGAAATGAACATGCTCAAGGCATTCGTAGAATTAAATTGGTATCAATATCTTTTTTTTTCTATTAAAGTAATATAAATTTTGTATAAAAATCATTATTACATTTTTAATAATTATTTTTTTTAAGGATGATTGATATTAAACAATTCGCTTCTCTTCAAGGATACAGAACTAAGAACCAACTTGGGTTTTTTAAAAAGTGCACTGATCATCACAAATCGTGAGACTCTGTTTGTAATATCTACCGATATGCCATCATATATGAATTATTATGGTCATACGTAGCTGCGACAGAAAATCCCTCGGTTGATGACTATCTAGATTGGGCAAGAAAACAAAATGATCACATATATAAATTAAAATTTGAACAAGTAAGATCTTTAATAAAATATCAAATATATCTAAAACTTTAAACTAATAATTATTTTAGATATTTACTTATCTCCAGGCAGTCATTAATTTTCGCACGGGAATTAGAAACAATAAACTATCATTAGTAAGTGCTGCTTGGTGCATATTTGCACCGATATAGACCGGTCGTAGGCACTCTATATACCGTTTAATTAAGATAACATATGAAGAACAATTGATATGATTAAATCCTGAGATTAAATAGCGTATAGAGTTATATTCTGATATTTCACGATCAGGATATAGCAATCAACATCAAGGCCTTGATGCTATTCTCAAGGAGATTAATAAATATTTAAAGGCCTTAATTCCACCTGTACCTTCGCAAAAACATTGGAGAATTGCGGTGCGTAACTGTATGAAATTTATAAAGGTTAATAAAATTACATTTGTATTAAAAAAAAAGAAAGATTATACCTGTGCTTACAATATATATTTTTAATAATAATCAGTTGCGCCACACATTATTTAAAATGATCAGGCACGCGGATAACAAATCATCAGGAGGTCAGATACATCCAGATTGTACATTAGAATCACAGCGATTTCGGGTTCATATGCATCAAACTGGATTTCCGAATCTTCAAGATGACAATCGCACTTTTAAGAGCCTTGGAGAAGAACATCTACTTAGCGAAAAACTGAAAAATTTCAGTAATTTAGCGTGTGAAAGGCAAATAATGTTTATAAATGAGACTTTTAGAGGCAGTGAGCCAAATTCCTCACCTCGACCAATACCTATTACTGCTCAAGAGGAAGCAGCGGCCATGGATGAAAAAAATATGACGAAAAAAGAGCTTTTAGCAATTATTAATTCATTGCTAAATTCTATTAATATTTCAGATCGACCAAAGTATCGTAGGTTGCAGCAAAAAACTAATAATGAGTTGCTAGAAATTTTACAAAGTATCAGAGATTTGCATAATAATCAAAATGAACTTGAAAACGAAATAGAATTAGAAAATTAAATAAATAAATAACTATTAATCACAATAATAAAATTATATTAATAATTATTGTCTCTACCTTTAGCAGATTACAATATTTAGTCTTCGTCAATTCTAAAGCTTCTTATTCAAAAATATATTTTATTCGATAAATTTTCTGCGTTCAGATATTCTGAAGATTCATTCTTATAGTTCCTGTA